CTACTTGCAAAATACAGATGATCAAAATGTTCCCAACTGTGTACTAAGCTCTGGAGGACAGACTGGCTCCATCTCAAAGGCACCTGCTTTTCGAAGCATGGATGCTAAGCACCATTTCAAAAATGTCTCTTGGGTCAGGTACTTCAAAATAGAAGGCATATTCTTCCCCTTTCCAAAGTGACTGACTTTGGAAAATGTTGGTTGACTTCCTTTTCAGCTTTAAATAGAGGACTTTGGATCTAACCTAAACTGGAAGGAACAGCACCAGGGAAGTGTGGGAGCACACACCTACAGTCCTGTGCTTTTAACTGTTAAGGCAGGCCCAGTTTCAACTGCTCTCGTAGCAGACATGGTATTTGCTGTCTGCCTGTCCTCTTCAACTTCAGGACACTGCCTGCCTCTGTCCCTAGATTTCTCCACATCTTTATTGCTACCCTGTGGCCTTTTCTCAAAGGACACTTGCTCTTCCACTGGTACATACAAAACCAGCCAGTTTCTTCAGGTCTCCAGAACCATTGATTTTCATTGCAAACTTATCTATTGTTTTATGGCAATTTGTTCACTGGTGTCTTTACACATTACTTGTAAGCCCTAGGTACAAATCAACTCCATTTAGACTGAATTAGGGGTTTTCTCCCAAATGTCAATCAATAACCTTATCAAATGAGCCAGTAGAGTACAAACTCATCTTGCCTTAAGTGAATATGTACAATCCAAATGGTGACTGATGGCCATCATCTCAAGCTACATGGATTTTACCTGCATTTTGAATAAGGTGGTCAGTACAGTGGTCAGTGCCTCTTAAAAGCAGACCTTGTTCTTGAACTATGCATTGTGTTCAGTGCTTACAAACCTCTGCTCTTTCACCTGCCTGGCAATAAAGAGCTACTAAAGTACTGACCAAACCAGCCCAGTGATGCATTTGAACAGGAAGCACATTTGAGAGGTGGGAAGAAAACAGTTTCCTCTATTAAGGAAAAATATCTCTAAGAGTTGAGACAATAGGCCACGATGCAAATGTGTTGCACAAACCACACATAAATACTCCAATCCTGTCTATTTTCCCTATTCAATAGAAACTTACATCAGAAGTTCATTAAACTTCGTCTATTACTGAGCAGAGGCGACACCTGAAAAATCCAACATAAAGACAAATATTCCCAGCAGAATGGGAGAAGCACTTTCTGAGCAAGAACGAGCAGGAAAACAGGAAGCACTACTTGCCTATTATCCAACCAAAAAGAGAATTTAAAGGAAAAAATGTCTCCTCATGACTGCCAACACAGGCAAGTGAAAAGCCAGTGGAGACTGACGGGCAGATGAACAGTTTTATCCTGGTGTTATTCATTCATGCTGGGTTTTTTTTGGTGTCACACCTTCTATGAAGGCCCAGAGCAGCTGCACACAGCTGTATGCTCTTGTTTTTCCAGGCTTACAGTAATACAGCATAACTAGAAAGTAGTGCTCACTCCCACCCTCTGCTGATCTTTCAGGGAGCAGGGCAATGACTCAGCCCAGCATCCCACTGCTTTCAGGTGGAGAGAGAACAGCAGCTACGGGCAGGGGTGCTTAACCCAATTTAAACGGTATTGCGGTCAAGTGAGAAAGAGCTTGCATCATCGCCAAGTCCTTAAAAGAAGTGGTGGTCCAGTTGCACGCATCACTGTCTGCCTTCTAATTCCGCCACAATATTTACTAGCACCATCAGCCTGTGTTATCTATACCCACCCTGCACGACCAGATCAACAGAACCGTGGGGCTGCAATGTGAAGTGGACTGGGGGAGCCAAGCTGGCTTAAAACAAAATCCTAATAATGATGATGATGATAATAATCATCATTCTCCTCCTCCTCTTCCAAACTTTTAAAAGCTGGGTTCCCAACCTGGTTCACAGTACAGCTCTGAACAGCGTGCTATACTACAAGGACAGAAGAGACTGTCTTCATCTGCTGGCAAATGCACCACCTGACTATCTCCCAGCCTTTGAGATACACATCAGAGGTGGCTCATAACACATCAGAACATTACTCCTGAAATAATCACACATATCTGGGGGAGAAAAACACCCCTTGCACAATATTCTCAAACATGCATGCAAACAAACAAGATGAGTAAAATTAAAAGTACCAAACACACACTCAAAGTTCAGTCTAGAGTTTTTGTTTGCAAACAAAAGCCATCATGTTACTGCCCAAAATATTCTATGCATTTTCCCCCAAAAGAAGTCATCTAAACTTTGTTCATTTGTTGGTTTTAGCTGGTTTTATGTATAGAGATTTTTGGTTTGAAAAGATAGACACACTACCCTAAATGGCAAACGACAGCAATGTGGACAAGGATTCATTTTTTAAATAATTTTTACAGGCAAGCACTTCTTCTACCGTCTTCATTACTTCACCTGGCTCTCTTACAAAAAGGCAAGGATGTTTTCCAACCTTTCATCATGTGCCTATGCTAGGTGTGTGCTAACATTTAGGCAAGCAATGTTTTCTGTAGCATTTGTTGGGAATTATTTGTCAGGAATTCAAATGTTTCAACTGGCAAGTTTTTTGATTCTCTTTTATGTATTTACACCATGAACGTGGGGGGGTTGTTTTTTGGAGGGTTGGGGTGGGGGGCTTTTTGGTGTTTGTGGGGTGTGTTTTGTGTTTTTTTTTTTAAACACAGCATTATGACAAAACTATACTATTTGAGAAAGCCGTGTGTTAAGACAAAGAAAAAAACTAAGCTAAAATCAGGGGATTCAGAACAATGGTAATTATACATAGAAAGCTGTGATCTGCTGTACTTGTGCTACCTACTCCTTCCAGAAGGTCTTTTCTGCAAACAGACCTCTGTGCTTCAGGAAGTCCTTAGTGTCTGCAAGCCCAGCTGCTCTAAATGAGAGACCATCAGCCACCAAAAAACTTCATCAGAGCTGTTCTTAACTACTTAAAAATAATTTGTAAGGGGTTCAGGCAACCTTGACAGATATGTTGGAAGTGTTTGGCTTACCTGTTTAATTATGTTCTTTGCAGTAATAATCATTTCATCTCCATATATTTCATAAAAATTTAGCTTTCTTTGTTTTAAAAGTCCAAATACTAGTGATACAAGTCTCTCCTATCAAGAAGGAAAAAGAAAATTAAAAAAAAACACACTAAAAATATCAAGGTGAGGACAAGAAACAATTTTAAGAAATTGCAGAGCAGTAAGCAAGTTCATGTACCAAACACATGGTGAACAGGATTTAGGTCATCCAGTGCCTTGAGACCAATGCCACGATTTAACCACACAACGTTCCCTGTGGCAATACCAGCTAATGGAGTCCCTTCCTCCCAGCCCCTTTCATGCCTGTTCCTCAGTTGTGCTCATCCACTTGTGCTTAAAACCATGGCTATTTCTAAAGATTAGTGAGTTTCCTTACCCCAAGCAAGAATGACACTAAATACAATTGCACCAGCACAAGTGAGAGGCTATCACATTGCAGCACGGAGGTGGGAAGAAGCTATAGAGCAGAAATGGGAATATTTAAGTGCTATTGCCATTCACTATATTTCATGAAACCCATGGATGAAACAAGGCTAAATGGTTAATAGGGTCTAGCAATTACTGAAGAATAGTACAGGCAAAATCCAGAAAAATCTTTTTCCTGGCTAGAAAGCTATCACAATAGCTTAATCTTCAGATGTTTATGATCTTCAGAGGAATGAGGAATATATCTGTATACTGCAAATGAAGCATGTATTCTGGGCAACCATATGCTTGATATAAGCACCCATAAATGCATAGGGAGACAGAATGGGGACATGCAACTATCAGCTTTCATTGCAAAACTGAAATTTTACAGTCAAGTAGATATGAGTCCATGTTCTTTTCCACTTACATGTTGAGGTTCATGAAACAAACTCAGTATACATTTAATCAGAGAAAAGAGAACTGATTATTTTGAAAAGATAAAGTAGGACTGGATTGCAGTTCCATGAGTTTAGTTACAATTACTTAATTTTATCAAGCACAAAAAGAAGGGACAGAGGGAGGTTTGCATGAGAAGAGAAATAGTATAAAATTATAATGTTGCTACTAGGGACCTGAGTGAATTAGTTGGTGCTAACTAAGTATGTTAAAGATGCAAACATATTCATCAGACAGTTTATTTCAATAACAGACATACCTCTTCTAGAATTTGGCAATCATCTTCTAGGGGTCTATTTAAATCATTGCGAGCATAAGTTGAAAACTCTGCAATCATCATTTTATCTATCAGCTTTTCCAGTTCACAAAGCTGTGAGCCAAGATGCCTAAGAAAAACAGCCATTGAGATATGAGCTAAATAATCAACCTGAAAATGAATCATTAGTTCACAGTTGAAGAAAATAACCACCCAGCAGGTAATTTCCATGCAATCAACGCTGGCTTAATGGGAGGCTGAAATCTTTCACTTCTTACAGCATTCTTCAGAGGCACCATCACCTTGCAGCAAAACATATGGACCTGAATATTGATGGAGGGTAAAAATTGGACGTAGAGGGTTTTTTTTTTGGTTTTTTTTGGAAGGTGCCGAGTACCTCTCTTCCCAATGAAGTGAACCAGAACCAAGAATACTCAGTGCTTGTAAGCATATAGGTGTTAAAAAGAAGGAATACTTCTTTTGCTTGTCCAGTTCGTCAGCTCATCAGTCCACAAGTTCTTCCACTTCAAACACTTGAGCTTTTGATATCAGTCGTCACAGATTTAATTCACATGACTAAGATACAGTAATAGCTTTACCTTACAGGATGGCTTTCAGAGAACACAGAAGAGTTTTCAGATTTGCCATTTTTATGCTACTCTAAATTAAAAATACTTTTTCTATGTATTGCCGATTTTAAATCGTATTTTGCAGGCTGCTGTAATGCAGAACCACATGGGAATTTCTCATGTCAGAAACGTTGACCAGTCTTGAAAAGTAAAGCAGAGTAAAATTAAAAGTGGAAATTTCAGAGATGCCAAACACTCCAGGCTTTCCAACTTCTACCAACAGCTGAAAGCAACCAAAAATCAGACTGCTTTTTCTTTTTTTTTTTAAAAAAGAAAAAGACACTTTGCCAATGAGAATTAAAAGCAGCTGTGATATTTTAGATAAACCTGGATACAAAATGGGGAGGAAGAACCTGCATGGCTCATTGGCTTTAATTCAGTGCTGGCGTAGCTGGACTGTTAGCTTGCGTAGAGTGGCAAAAAGGTCTCAGCACTCCCTGGTAGGAGCACTGCTGTACCAATGCGAAGCCCACAGGATCCGGCCTTGCAGCCCATGTCAAAAGCCAAAGTCAGTGCCAGGGTGCAAGGAAGCATGATGCCAGGGTCGCTCCTCTGTGCAGAAGCCCACATGGCCAGCACTGAGCTGAACTGAATGAATCTTGCTGGATCCGAGTTAAGCAGATTAGTTTTTTTTTTAGTTTTGGGATGACCAGGGACATGTCTGCTTTTGAAATTGTTGGTCAAGAATTGGCTGGAATGGACAAAGTGGACACATTTCAAACATCTAATTTAAGCAAAAATGGCCTCTAGAAAATCCAAGCCAGTTGCATCATGGACATTTCAAAACAGACCAAATAGAAAAAATTAAAGATTATTATTTGCAATGTAATGACAAATTGCAACACTTACTGCAGGACTAATACCCACAACACAAAGGCTCTTGCTTAGGTAAGCACAAAGATGCTGCTCGGTAAATTATTTCTGTAACTGTGCTTAACTACACTGAAATACAACATAATCCACCCTCTCAAACCTCAGGTATGGAAATGTCCAACAAGAATTCCCAGCACTTGCTGCCACCATGTCACTCGAGATGTTCTAGTCCCTAACAACAACAACAACAACAAAATCACTCCACCCTGAAACACACAGGAATAAGTAAAACCTTAATTCACACTCCAGCGAAACACCTTGGCAATGATCTCTTAAGAGGTACCATTGACACAACAGGTCCTTTCAATGACTGAATACTACACTTATGTAAAATTATGCATGCAGGGTAAAAATTCTTTTAAAATACACAGATGAGAACTATTTTACCAGGCGTCTGTGGTTTGCCAGCATACCTGTGCAAAAAAAAAAAATATCACCAGATCTCCAACACCCCAACAAGGATTGTGAAAACAATGTAAAAACTGGCAGTACAGATTTGTAATTTAGTTAACTCATTAAGTATTCTTTTTGTAAAATTAAAAAGATGAACTTGAGAAGGTTAAAGAGCTCTAAAACTTTAATTCTATCCTATAGCAGTAGCAAGCAGTAATCATACAGTTATGATGGATACATATAATCATTGGGGATGTTAACCTAGATTAAAGACACCAATTTATTACTGCACAGCACCATTAAGGTGCTTTCATTTTTTTCTATAACTAGAATCAAATTACATTTTTTTCGGCATATAGCATGACAAGAGGAGAATAATTTTTGTATATGGATGATCTGAATAGTTTTCTCACCACTTTACATCGAATGATTCTGCAACATGACTTAATTTAAAGCTGTCTGTTCAAAAGCAAATTCTACAAACTGCCAATGCACAACACTAAAGCAACAAGTTTTTAAAAAGGAAAAGACAAATTACTTAGGGAGAAAAAGAGATACTAATTATTTAGAAAAATGAGATACTGATTTAGAAGTTAATCTCTTCTTAAAATAAATCAGGTATTTAACTCGCTCGACAATTGTGGCATTCTTATCAGAACAAAGCAAGAACATCCATTTGGTATTTCTTGGAAAAAGGTGAAGTATTTGTATACGGCATCAACTTAGACTTTTTTTTATTTATTTATTTTACCTATTTTCAAAACCACAATGTTCTACGGAGAAGTTTTATCAAGATCTCCATCTTTCCATTGCACATTATTTCTCCAGATATGCTATACACACAGGCCACTACAAGACTTAGGAACAACTGTGCTGGGCTTCTCAATTGCACTTGCATCTCTGGTGGGGGTGATGACTTAAGTTGCATTAAACTCACCTTTCTGAACCTTTAATATCCAAAGCAGAGAGGACATTTCCCATTCCCATCACTATTTTAAACTCTACCAAACCAACCAACTGAAATCACTTTTTACAGACAAGATGAACATTCACCTGCAAATATGTTCCATATCCAAGTGCAATTTTAAATTAATGACACGTTCTTGGGACATCATATATACTAATCACAATGACAACAGAATTGCACTCTTTGCTGATGTAGCACAAAGGTTACTTGATTGCAAAACAACTAATTCTGACTGATGTTGACACAGGGTTGTAGAAGTACACTCACTATCATCAAGGTAAATGTAAATATGACTCAGTCAAGGGCTGTGCACCATAATCTAGTTAAGAGTAGGAACAGTAAAGAGGAAAGAAACTGCACTGAGGTGTCTGCAGATGGACCGTCTAATTCCATCTAAGACCATCTAAGTTTTTTTGAAAAAGACTAACAGCTTCTAACAGCTTTCCTCCCAGTAAGTTTATTAGCTTTTTAAAACAAAATATTTTTAAATGTAGGGTTTTTTTTAAAAAAAGACTTTTTCTGAGATCTTTTCTACATAAAATTTGAGTCTTTTTCCAAACCAGCTAGAAGGGCAGCTAGAAGAGCTCGTCTGAACAGACAGACAAGAGTAGTAACCGTATAAAGTTCTGAACATTCATGTTCATTACTGAGCAACAACCATGTTTTTATTATGCAACCACCAGTTTGCAGGAACCACACAGCCTCTGAACAAAACAAAACACCCCCCAGCATCAACTTACAAAACTAAGCGTACAGCTCCTCAACTGGCTGATGCAAGCTGGAGAGCTGACGTAACATGCGCTACTTTTGCCAGCATCGTACCACAGTGGCAGCTTCGCATGAGACACTTTTATCCTGTATATGACTGTTATGATAGCTTATTTTACATCAGCTAAAAGGATTCTACTGTAGTAATACTCCTGCATATCAGAGGAGTGCAGCGGCATCTCTCAAGTGAAGCTCTAAGCATCAACTGTTAACAGAAGCAGCCAGCACAGGACCTTGGACTCACTAATTCCCACCACTGCAGCAAACATGGGTGAAAAAACAGTAGTGACAGCAGCTTGGGCAGCACCCTCCCACTGTTTCTTCCCTTCCCAACCTCAGCAGTTCACAGAACTGTATTTCTCAGATGGATGGAGCAAGAGGAAGCACCCACTGGCCACTGCTCTCCACAAAAGCAGGCATGGCTGAACACATCCCATCTGAACAGTTGTCAACCTCCGGCCACATTTTGAGCCATGGTTTGATAGCTTTGCACTGGCTTTTGCTTGCAAAGCTTCTTCTAGCACAAGCACAGGCTGGAGGCTGATGTACTCAACACACGGTCCGTGTGTATTCCTGTAACACCCCATGCCTAGGTCAGTCACTAAAGGCAGTGGCCTGGAGTGGAGCTGTGTAGCAAGAACTGTATCTCTGGGATCCTGTGTGCATAAGGATTGCAGACCACTACTTGAAAACCATCTCTCAACTGTGGGCTACAAGCCCTGCAAGACGAAGGTCCAGCCACTGCCTGGCTCTCATATCTGCACCCCTAAACCACCTGTAGACAAGAACGGAGTACAAAGCATCTAGATGTTAAAAGCTTATCCCCCCCTAAAAAAACAAAAAAAATTATCTCTGGCACACGCATTAGTCACACTGCTTATGCCACACTTACATTTTGTACCTTTTGTACTATATCCTCCAAGAATGAATAAACAAAGGTAAACCAAACCCCTTCAGCCAACATAAGGTGCTCAACATATCCAAGCTCTTCTTGCATTTTATTAATTTCCTAGATGGGCACCTACCGGAAACTGTGAATGCCTTGAAGCTCTTGCTGTAACACCTCCTGTGTTGTTGCTATTAAGTCCAAAGCTCCAACAAACTCAGAAGTAGATAGCAGCAACTGTACTGTGGGCTGTGTTTGGTGTACAGTAGCCATTAACTTCAGTTTATTGTATGCTTTTATACAGTTATTTCTGGTAAGTGACAGTCTTAAAACTCGAAGTGATCCTTCACACATTACTTTATCAATTTTGGAGATTTTCTCTCTAAGTAATTTTACAGCCTGGGAGGTTTTCCTGAGGTAGTCCTGCAACTCGTGCTGAGAGGTCATTGCATGAAAAAATGCTTCTGAGCGCAGAGAAATCTGATGAGCAATATTGACTTCCACAATGTCCAGATAATGGCTCAGCTAGAAAGAGGATGGAGGAGGAAAAAATGAACAGTGTTGTTATGACTTGGCAAGTTTATCACCATGCAAATATACTTTCAGGATATCTGTCTTACTGTATCATGAGGAAATTTTGCTCATAAAAATTAAAACCCTTTGTCAGATTAGCAAGCAAATAACTACCCATTGTGGTTTGATCATTTGTTTTTAAATAAGCTCAAAATCACTTTGGTAAGTCTGACTTGATGCCTCTCCTGCTTGAAAATTACAAGGTAGAAAAGCAAATAATTTTCAAATACCCAAGCTTTTCCACCACATGGTTGCATACTGGCACTGTTACAATACTGCCATTAACCAGGAGACAGCTCTGGATACTGGCTTGCGAGTAAGAACAGTATACACATGCAAATATGCTATGTACTTCGGGTCATTGAAGCTGCTAAGGATGCAGCCCGACTATACTTGATGACATGGCTTTGGAATGGATCTGTTAATTTAAAAGGCTGCGGCATCTTCTCTGCTGAAAAATCTTCAGGATATCTCTGGCTACAGTTATTTTTTTGCCAACAGTTGGAGTTCCTATTAAATGTATTTCATGTGCACAGGCACTGTGAGATTCCCAGAGACGGAGTATGCCTACATGTTTAGAACCTGAAATTCAAATTCTCAATGTTGAACCACTGGGTTGGCCTGATTATTTGAGCTGTAAAACCTCTGTGTTCTGGCTTATGCTGAATATGCAAACTCAAAGGACTGAGCATTAGGATGCTCATCTGAATGCTAATACTCAGATGACCTGGTTTCTAAGAGGTATCAAGCACTCAAACCTCATGTGAATTTCAAAAGGCCCATCCAGAGATGGAAAGAAAATCAGCTGGAGAATGTTTCCTTCTTATAGTTATTTTCATCCCACATGTATTTAACACTGGGGATTAACACAATATACAAACCCATCTTTTTTTAATACATTTAATCAAAAACATCCTCCACCAAACAGCTGTGACACACCTAGCCCCCAGGAAAAGCTGAGACAGACTGTGACACAGGGATCAGAGAAAGGGTTATTATGATCATTTATTTATGTGATTGTACCAACCAGATGCCCCAGGTATGCTAAGCGAGGTAGAACAAACAGAACAAAATGATAGTACCTGCCTCAAAGAGCTTACAGTTCCAATGCAGGGTAAGACATGGAAAGAGGTAAGGAGGAAAAAATGTAAGGGGGAAATTGTTCCAAGTAGATCAGCAGCAGTCCAAAAGCACTAATAGCCTAAGTACATGTGCTTAAGGCAGATTTTTCCAAACCCTGTTGAAAAATAGTGCCTGGAGCGAAGGATAATTATGGCAGCAGGGTGCCTATTTACACATGGTAAGTGTAAACCTCGTGCAGTTCAGAGCCTTTAAAAAGTAAAACAAAAAATTTGAGCCTATTTCAATAACATGAAGCAGTGTAATAATTTGTTTATCAGGCATGTGGCTTTGGAGGCAACAGAACTGTTTGATACTCTTTAGGTATTTGTATCACCTCTCCAAAGCAGCGCAGCTCACAGCTATTCAAAGCCTTATTTTCACTCCACTGCATCAGAGAGGTCTCTGGGTCTCTTTCACTCAAAGTCCACGTTGAGTGTCCATCCTGCTGCTGCCAGGCTCACTTCACAAGTTTAAAGCACATGCCAGACACTGCTTTTTCGTCTTCAGACAGCAACTGCCACAAGAAACTCCAAAGAAGTATTCCTCCAACTTTAGGTGTGGAGGACAACCCAATGAAGGATCAAGTTAGCTTCCAGCAGAGTCTGCCTCTACCTCCTGACAGAAGGAGGGAGGAGGAAGAGGAGGAGGAAGACTAACACCTGGAAATTTGGAAACATCTTCCAAAAGATCTCTTGTTATTTTTTCTTAAGGCACCTCACTACTTCCCCCTGGCCCCAGCTCCCAAAAGCTTTAGTAGGTTAAACAGGAGGGAAAATGAAAGTTAGAAAATGGACTCCAAAATGATGTAGATTTTCTAAAAGCATTCTGTGAGTATTTGTACCATAAAAATGATTCATTATGGGATCTTCTACACTATGACTACATAACTAACAAAAAAAAAAAAACAAACCCAAAACGACCAGGTAAAGACTTCTGTTTCCAATATGAAAGAAATAGTTCTGCTTTCATGCTCTCCAATGCGCTTAAGTCCTTTGTGAAATGCAAAAATGGATTAGTGCAGATGACATGACAATAAAAGGTAAGAGGAAGCTTCTGACATACAAAACCTTAGCATTTAGTATTTCTTTTAGCACAGAAACCACAGTGCCTTGAATCTGGAGTTTTCCTGAGATGCGAGAAAGCCACAGTTTTAAACAGTGTACAACCTCTAGCTTTCCCTTGTCATGGAACTGCTCTTCCTCCCTAACAAACAGCTAGCTCCACATCCCTGAAGTTCTCAATATATACCTGCTTAACTAAGTTTTAGTGGTCATGAAGAGCCAATTATTATGCCACACATAGATTCTTTTTTCCAGATTTGACAGGTACATTTATTTAGCAGGGGAAAAAAATTCTCCTTTGGTAAGATGCTTCCTGCATTGTTTACTAACAATCTGCAGCCTGATATACAATGAGAGATAACAAAGCCCACAACCGTGATGTCTCAACAAACAATGCAGAACAGCAGCAATGGAGTTTCTCTGTAGTAACAGCTGTGATGGATAATGACATCTTGTACCAAAGTTGTACCTTTTCTTGAAGTAACTTGGAGGAAGCTGCATCACGATTTCCTTTTCCACCAGCAGTACTAAAATGAGACCATGGTAAAACGGCATTAAATGTTAAGGAATCTTCCAAGGCAAAATCTGGTTTCATAAAAATCTGAAACAGAAAAACAAAAGAAATAAATGCACCTCTCTCACCCCTACATTTTCCTCCCCAGTTTAACACACCTCCTGTCTCATGAAGCTAACAGGGACCTTATTTGTTGATTTTTCAAAAACCAAATTTTCACTTATCCAGGCAAACAAATTCATTCCAGACCTTATAACCAATTTGCTTTACATCTTAAAAGCTTGTGTGATTTGACAAACTCTTGTCTTCCTAGAAGTCGAAGTCACAACTCCAAAATTACATAGGTTATTAAGCACCCAAGATGATCCAAACATCCTGAGTGTGAAAACATAGGCAGCATTAAACTGCAGGTGGGTCCTCTAAAGGATCAGAGCAAACGTTCTTCAATAGTAGGGGCATCCTACTGCTGATGTGCTCATTTCTGAGGCCATGGCTTCAACCAGACTGACGATCCAGCCAGCTGTCAGGGTGCAGCAAGTGTTGCCTGGGAGGGAACAGAGCCTCGAGCTGATCTCCTTTAGCACAGTGCAGCAAACGTGCTGGTCACAGAAAGAGTCAGTAACATGTAACACTAACTCTATATACCTCAGAGAACTATTAATCTAAAATTCTCTCTGATAACGATATTTTTACTTGACAAAATTGGCACAAACCTTGAGCTTCCAGGCAGACAGTAGTACCCTTTTCCCTGTATTTATGAAGTGTAATTTTAAAAGGTTCAACACAGACTATCGCATCACACCACACTCAAACATTCTTGTTTCCTGCACTTAAGCATTGCAGCGGCAGCTATTCAAGTAACAGGCTACATGACTGGCACAGAGATGCTGACCCATATTAACACCGTGACTTCTTAATGTACCTAGAAAAAATTATTCAGACTGAAATGGAATCTGGAGTTGTGTCTTTTGTCAACCTGTCACAAAAACCCCCACATCATATATGCTGCAAGCATATATGCAAGAGGGCTTTGCTCAAGGATTTAAGGAGTTAGACCTAATGCTGAGTGATACACTATGCAATATTCAAGCTTCTGCCAAATTCTTCAGTTTCCTTTTCCTCCTAGAACACAGAGTGGCTAATTTTGCCCAGCTCTGAGGTTTTAACTATTAAAGATGAAAGAATTAATGGCATTTGTATTCTACTTTAAGCAAGACAAAAATCAAGCCCACAGGAAACAACAACAGAAAGAAAGAAAAAGCAGATTGTTCTTAGTTGTTGTAAATTCCAAGCATTGCAGATCCTCTTGAGAATCAGCTCAATTAATCAGCTTGGTCAAAATTTATACAAAGTGAATACATTCATATATTCAAGACTACATGTGAGAAATCCTTATAAAAGCTTAGAGTGCACAGGAACCATACCTTAGGTACTTGTTCCAGATCTGTCCTGGATTTATCTAAAATTAAACAAAATACAGGTAGTCATTCATGAGCAAACAATGGAAAACAATTACCTTGTAACACTATGAAACCCTGTGAGGAAGTTTTCAAGACAATGGTGCCAGGTTCCTCACAGGAACAGACAGGGAACAGTGGTTATAAATTAAAATGAAAGGTTCTGACTGAACACAAGGAAAACCTTTTTCACCGTGAGGACAATCAAGCATTGCAGCAGGTTGCCCAGAGAGGCTAGATACTCTCCATCCTTGGAGGTTTTCAAGGCCCATCTGGATAAAGCCCTGAACAGCTTGGCCTGACCTCACAGCTGAGCTGGCTTTGAGATGGCAGTTGCAGTAACAACCTTCTGAAGTCCCTTCCAACCTGAAATATTCTGATTCTTTGAAACACACTGTTGTCCTTTGTAGTTTAGGTCTCATGCTCAGAGTATTCAAAGGTGCTTGCACTCAGCCGCTTTGGCAGCAAAAATGTTAGTCATAAAAAGCAATCAACTTAGCACTTCACATTCCTTAACGCATTGTTCGATCAGCAGGCAAGGGCCAGTAAAATGTCCCTCTAACATCACCCCAACTTTAATGCTCCAGATTGAAGCTGCCCATACAGTCACTTCTGCACAGCACCTGGAGGATGGATGCACAAAGGCTGGCAAGAAGAGTGAACGAGGACTCAGGACAGAGTCCTGAGCACACTGAGCAAGTAGCACAGAAGTAGCCCTTCCCTTGAAGTAAGCTGACCTGACAATTGCAGAGGGTAATATAGTTGAGCTGGAAAAAGAGGTGCATCGTTGCACTGCAGCAGAACTTGAAGAAAAAGCAAATTCAGACTTTTGGGGTTCAGCCAAAATCTCCTTTCATCCCCTACTCATTAATCTAGTGTGCATCATGAAGAGGGGGCACATTGCAGGCCAAAAAAGGTGAGAAATTTAAAAACAAGCCCATACCTCAGTTGGACAGTCTACTTGTCCCTGACAAACATGGTAAATGCTACATCAGCATTATCTCCCAAATTTCTCTCACCTCTTTGGTTCTTACTTTATGTGATTGTTTTATTTGTATTGAAATACAAAAGGCAACCTAGGAATCATCCTGCTGTCCTCAGGCTTTGGACAGACCAGCTCTTATGGAAGTGAAAGGCCAAGTCTTGTGGGCTGGAGTTAGACAGGCAACACTAACAAAAGAAACTATTGAAAATACAATTTCAGTTTACCAAAATGATGCTTCTACTAGAAACTGTCCGTCTATCCAAGAAGCTCCCAGTTACTTTGGTGACACAGTCATTTTCTCTTTTTAAAAACAAAAGCCACTTTCAAAATGGACTAAGCTAGGCCTGAAGAAAGAACTTTTATTTTGCAGTATGCGCCACAGACTCATTCAGGAACAGCTCTTTCAAAGTAACACCAGGTACAGAGAAACCCTACAGAAGGGCTTCCTTTTGCATGGAAAAGGAGGAAGAAAGCCAACTGAAAGAACTTGATCAAAAGCAGTAAACTACTGAATGCTTCTTGCTGCATTACCTGTAGACATTGATATAGACAAGCCTGATCAAACAGTGATTGGCAAATGAACCCTTTTATACTAACATTTTTGAGAAAATAAATTAAAATAAATTAAATATTAAAAGTTTGCCCCGGTTATGTTTCTCTTCCTTTTGCTTGTCTTTTTAATTTTGCCTCTTGCCTTCCTTTGTCCAGTTTCATATTAGCTGAACTACTTCCATAAAATCTTGAGACTCAATCTTGCTACATCTGCAGACACCAAAAAAAAGGTTGCCAGGTAGTCTTTGGTAACAGTAACCAGAGAAATACTAACCAGAGAACTGGCCAGAGTGGAACTTCACTTCAAGCCGGTGAAGGGTCTGGAGCATAGGCTTTATGAGGAACGGCTGAGGGAACTGGGGTTGTTTAGTCTGGAGAAGAGGAGGCTGAGGGGTGACCTTATCACTCTCTACAACTACCTGAAAGGAGGTTGTAGTGAGGTGGGTGTTGGTCTCTTCTCCCAAGTAGTTAGCGATAGGACAAGAGGAAATGGGCTCAAGCTGTGCCAGGGAGGTTTAGATTGGATGTTAGGAAAAAATTCTTCACGGAAAGGGTAGTCAAGCATTGGAACAGGCTGCCCAGAGAGCACCATCCCTGGAAGAGTTCAAAAAAATGGGTAGACGTGGCACTTTGGGACATGGTTTAATCTAGTCTACCCTTAATTGGTTTAGTGTGGACTTGGTGATGTTGGGTTAATGGTTGGACTGGATGATCTTAAAGGTCTTTTCCAACCTAAACGATTCTATGATTCTATGATTCATGAAGTTCAGCACAGGAAAAGGCAAAGTCCTGCACCTAGAGAGGAATAACCCCAAGCACCAGTACACGCTAGGGGTCTAGCAGCTGGAAAGCATCCCTGCAGAGAGGGACCTGGGCTCCTGGCAGACAACAAATTGACCATGAACCAGCAGTGCACTCTTGCAGCAAAGCATCCTGGGTTGCATTAGGCAGAAAATTGCCAGCAGGTTGAGGAAAGGTGATTCTCCTTCTCCACTCAGCACCAGTGAGACATCTGGAGCAGTATGCCCAGTTCTGAGCTCCCCAGTACAAGACAGACCTAGACATACTGGAGCGAGTCCAGCGAAGGGCCACAAAGATGATTAAGAGACCAGGGCATTTTTCATAGGAGGAGAGGCTGAAAGAGCCGAGACCGTTTAGGCCGGAAAAGCTCAGGGGGGATCTTATCAATGTTTTTAAATATTTGACGAGATATTTGTGTAAAGAAGACAGAGCAGGCTCTTCTCAGTGGTGCCCAGTGACAGGACAAGAGGCAACGGACAGAAACTGATACACAAAAAATTCCATCTGAACATAAGGAAACACTTCTACTGTGAGGGTGGTCAAACACCGAAACAGGTTGCCCAGAGAGCTTGTATAATCTCCATCCGTGGACAAATTCAAAACCCAACTGGACACTGTCCTCCCGTAGGTGACTCTGCTTGAGCAGATGGGTCGGACTAGACCATCTTGAGACGCCACTTCCTACCTTAGCTATTCCGTGGTCCTCATGGCAGAGAGACAGGAATGGCCAGCACTACCATTCTTCATTGCAAAGTCAATAACTGTTAGAAATCTGATGCAAAAGTTTCAACAGATCTTAAATAAAAGGAAGTTAAAGAAAACACTGCCAGGGACATAATGACCTGCCACGAATGCAAACATGCCAAGGAAAAGTTTAAGAGCAGGTATCACAAGTGTTTTGACCTATAAAATATCAGCAGTGGTCATGAATACTTCTAGTCAACCATATCTGGGTTTTCAATTACTGTTCACCAGCAGCTATTTTTGCACATGAAGCCCTTGAGCAAGTAAAGGAGATGATCAGTATGTTATAGTAGTCTAGTCATTAAAGAAATTACTTTCTAACGACTAAAGGAAGGCTTTGACTGTACCGTGGGTGTGTAATAGAGTCCTGTCGAAGGTATGTTTAGGAGTACAAATATTCTTGCATCTTTCATGAACCTTCTCTCTCTGTAAAAGAGAAAATATATTAAACAATTACTCTGAAGCTTTAAAAAGATTTTTTTTCTTTGAAACAGAACATTCAGAACATTTTCAATGAAACATACTGCATTAGGCCAAATAATTATGACAAGTTCACAATAATATTTTTTCTTCTTAAAAGATCAGATGATGTTTGTCCAGGTAAAATGTAACATAGGTTGTAATTTTTGGTCTATATGTTGTTTTTTCAGTATATTTACATCTCAAGAGAAGATGAACACAAAAGTTATTGTAGAGGTGTAATAGCTTCTCTATATGAGATATAACCGTAGAGCAATTGTAATTACATATCCAAACATTTATTTGCTGTCTAATTCTGAAATCACACTAAGACACAATGAATGCTTTTTCATTGCTATATTAAATTGGATCAAAGTAGAAATTGCTTCCACATCTTACTCATGAGCACCCTGCTGAAGTCACGTATCTTGTTTCATCATGCTGAGCTTCAAATTTTATCCACGGTGTAAACAACACCAGAAACCATAGTGGTGAGAAATTATGTTTCTAAAGAACACCAATGTTAGCGAGACCTCTGCTAGAAGCTACATCACAGGTCAGTTCCTTCTTCCTAAAACCTTCTTACATTTTGCAGTCACTGCATTACACGCTAATGGATGAGCTCTTAAATGTCTTCAATGTCGAATATGTGAACTGATGGCAATAGTTCAGTTACAGACAATTCCCTTCCACATACTTTAACTACAATTTACATAAGTGACACTTCCTGCAGCTACTTCTGTAACAGCAAAAAAATAAGAAAGTTACAAACCAAGGAAGCAGAAAACAGTGGGAGACTTCTACATGTTCTTTCAGTTAAAAAAAAAAAAAAAAAAAGAATACTACATACTTACTGACACCTGTATTTTAAGAGTTTGTAGAAGTCTCCTACTGGTCCTGGTGTCCTTAGATGTAGCTTAAACTTTCCTGTCACAAAAGAAATCGTCAAGATAATAGGCCCATTTATAGTTTAAGAATTTCACATATAAATGTTTACATTAGAGACTCTTAAAAAAAAACACCTCCAAACCTTGCAGCATATAGTCATGTTTTATATTTGATGCTAAGGTCTGAAAATGCTATGTTGCACTGTAGAGCCCAATCGTTAAACAATCCTTACAGAAAAAGGATTAATAATTAGAAAGAATAAAATAGGAACTGTAACCCCTGGTACAGAGCACAGGATTCAGAAATACAAATGAAAAAGATATGAAATTGCCTAGAGAGAATTTAGACAGCGTGTTCCACACTATGAATACCAAGATTATAAACCAAGAAATGACCAATGAAGAGTCAACAAGCACTGAAGAGCAAATTAATTATCAGCTAACAGGGATAATCTCTAATTAGAGGAAGGAGCTCAAATTTCTTTCTGGCCCTTAGTACTATGTGCATCTAATTTTGGGTTCTTACCGGAGTGATTTCCTGTTGGTATAATGCAAAATGTTCCTTGGTGATCTGTGGGAGGTAGAATGAAGGCGTGACTTCAGTGTCCACAAAGTCCACTCCCCATGTTTTTGTAAAGAAATCAGATTCCCGTTTTGCTAACCTAGGATCATTTAGTGCTGCTGGGAGATTGACTTTGGAATGATAAATAGTCCATCTGTGCTGATCCACAACTAGAGATGGGCTGTCACATAAATTACTGGGATCGCCTGCAGCACAAAAGACAAGACAGTTTGTTAAGGTGAGAAACTGAAAGTTGTATTTTTGCTAAAATGTGTTTCTTGAGCAAACCATGTTTCCACAAGTGGATCAGAATTATCTATGCAAAAGACACATGATATTCTTCTTTTGCAACACTTTTACTTGCATTTCTTCTATCAGATTAACGAACGCAAGTTTTGAACGCAGTGGTGTATTCACACTCATTAAATATATTTAGCTCAACAACATTAGTTTCTACTGAAGAAAAAAAAAATTCCAACCACAAACATATTTTTAATAACCTGAACTTGATCAGAATAACAGTTGAAATTCCTTAGCATTAGATTTCTTAATTCTTAAGATCCCACCCCACCTACTCCTTTTTATAAGCTAAGCTTTACTATACCACACCAGCTATAACTGTGACCAAAACCTGGTTTTACAATAGCACTAGAGACTTATGACAGTGCTAGAGACAGGTCCTGGTCTCTTGCTTCCCACTGCAAGAGGGCTGGGGTGTTTCACAGAAGTAATGCAGCTAGACTCGAAGCACACTGGACAGGTCTGTTACAGGCTCTGACAGAATATACCCTCTTCTTGCATGTAGTATGGATCATAGCTATATAATGTGGAATCACACAAGCAAGATCCCATCTATAATGTGGACATCTGAAAACAAGCTGCAAATAGAAAGGCTCTCCCATTGCTCCAAAGGGACACTGGGTGGTATAAAGCAGAATTACAGCATACTTTGAAATAACACCATGGCTTAGTACACTACACCCAGTGTACAAGAAAATTTGACTGAACAATTGTAATGGATTAGCAAATTTAACTGCATTTTCACTCTCCTTGACACCAGTATTACCTGTAGGTTCCTTGGGACACACATCAGGCAGCGACTGCACAGGTCGAAAACGTTTTGTGGCATCCATTTCCTTTCTAAAGAAAGCATCACTGCTGTTTGACTGAGGCACTGGTGAAGAACTGTGGCTTGATGCCATTGCATAAAATCACCACTCGATAAAAGCTAAATAAGAAACAATAAATATCAAGGCTTTAATACACTTCTGGTTAGGGATTGTATCAAAACAATAACCCCCCATCAGCTATATAGTTTTTTTTTTTTTAACTGCAACACTATGCAACACTAACGGACACATTTCAACAGCAACAGGGGAAAGTTTATTTTAAACACAAAAATAACACTTGTTCTTGCACACAGCACCGATAAAATCATACGTTAAAAAAAAAAAAAACCAAGAGGTCTTTCAGGCACTTCTGCCTTTCTATTGCCATAGCTATTGCAGTCACAGTGCACGCATTCACAGTGGAACTTCCTCACAGATATCAGGAAGCTCAGGTAGACAAATGCATAGCCTTATAGCCTTCAACCTCCTCTTCCCTCCTACCTACCTACTGTCCTCATGACTGCTGGGAGCAGATCACCTTTTGCATCTGCAGAGCCATGCCACACTCAGTGAGGTTTAACCACAGGGCATTACAGGCTGCAGTGAAAAAGCTAACGAGTGCAGGTGGGATATTCTGTGCCCTCACTTTGTTGCGCTGCTTTAATGTTACAACCCCAGCAACAGGAGGTGCACCATTTCCTCCAAAGGAGGTCTGCAACCTGTGTTCACGATTCAGCCAAGCCCAGCACCAGCTACCCAGATACAATATCATTAATTATTTACAGTAATTGAAATCATTATCACATTTCAGACAAATCAGAATCTGAAGAATACAAGCATACCATGTATATCAGAAAAGAATGAGCACATACTATGCATAGAACATAGACATCTTTTATCACTTGAATCAGGAAAATTGGCAATTCAACTTCTCATGGCTGTCTAGTAAAGTAAACTACAGTTTATTTCAACATAAAAAGCATTTGCAGAGATAAGACAATTAAAACACAGATCAAAAAGCGCTGGAGTAAGAGAAGTCCCATTAATTTTCAGTTGAATTTTAAGCTCCCAATTTTAAAAAAAACAAAACCCTTAAAAATTTTACACCAGGGCTGAACAACATAATCTGTTCTTTCCACCTGTAAACAAAACTGCATTTCTATCAATGTATCTGTTGAGTCAGTGGTAAACTACAGAACTATTATAAGTTTGAGAGTTTATTAAAACATCCCCATAATGTACAGCTCAAAGAGTGCCTGTTCAAAGGGACTGATTTGAATCCTCCCCTTTAAGGAGAAATAAACACATCTAGCAAGATCTTAGCATTTAACTACCAACCCTTAAGGGACAGCTAAATTACTTACTATCCTGTGAAGGAGCACAAAAAGATAAAAGGCCTATTTTATCTTCAATCGTTGAAGCAGGCACCAAGGGATGACTGTACATCACTGTGTCAACTTCTAACAGCATCACATATACTACAGCAAATCTCATTTGGAAAAGAAAAAAAAGTTCTACTTTCTAAAGGAGGTTAGAAGTGTCCTAGAAAACAATTCTAAAGACAAGTTAAGGTATGTACAGCTATAACAGAGCATCCCAATGAACGGGCCCATAATGACTAACAAACACATATTCTGTCCATTGGGTACTGTTCCTGATGTTCACTTGCCTCTCTCCCTTTCCATCAAACAATGCAGCAAGACAAGGAGAATAACATGCTTCCACTGTCATTATTTAGAAGTGACTTTTAAAAGGGGTAAAAATAGTCCACTAGAACCCTTTCTAAAAAGGCTGCAGAAGGACTGAAGATCTGTCTCCCAGTTTTTCTTGGGAGGGGTTTCCCTTCCTTCTTATAGTAGAAAAACTTACTAGTCAAGACAGAGAATGGGAGCACTAATGGAAAACTGGAAGTAGTCAGGAAGTGGAAAAACCTTCCCAGGTATCTGACAGACAGACATTCTTTAAATATCATAAAGCATCAGTCTCTCTCCCCAAAACGCCCCAAAGAAAACTTTTTTACTACAACTTCTGTTACATGTTCATATTTTTATGTTCTTCCCTTGACATTTACAAAGCAGCTTTTTCTTTATAAAGCTCTTCCCTAATGTTTTGAGGTGGTTTTGTGAAAAATCTAGTTTATGATAATGACAGAACTCTGCCATTTTAGCATTCTTAAAAGACATACCCAGTGCTAAGTTATAAAGATCAAGTGTCCTAATGGCATTGTGGTTGTTTAACCCCAACTGGCAACTACAGCCACTCGCTAACTCCCCCCACAGCGGGATGGGGGAGAGAATCG